AAAAAAAAAAAAAAAAAAAAACAAAAAATAAAAAAAAAACACCAAAAGGTTTGTTGTCAGCAGCAGCGAATGAAAAATACTATGAAAAATGCAAACAAATCTGTTAACCACCACAATTCAAATGAGGAATTAATTACTGCTTGCGAAACTCAGCAAGTGCCAAGTGCGAAATATTCGCGCCAACTTTGTAACAAAAATACTCACTTTTCCCATTTAAATACTTTTATTATTATGCGCGTTTCTATAGTAATTCGTCATCTTTATTTCAGATGGTGGACATCTATACTTTCACTCATATTGAAAACATCAAGATCTGTTCAATGAACATGAAACTTTAAACTTTAAAATGAAACTTTAAGGCACTTCAAAACAACAACACTATCAAACACAACACAACTGATCGCATAGACTGCTACTTAAATAACAGTGCCCAGGCCGTATGCGTAACTTCGCAATGCGCAGCTTTTTCCCAGTCACTGTAACCCCCTGAAACCCCACAGTTTGTATGAATGTTAGTTTCCTTGCTTATTCCTGCTTTCGAAAGCGACAAGTGGGGTGGTGAGCATTACAACTTGCATGAATAGCGATGGAAAGGTAAAAATGAAACACACACCCAACTTCACATTCATATTCTCATATATAATAAATTCGCTTTGCGACTTAGGGTGTTGGGTCGTTGCGTTACACTCGCCGTTGTGGTTACGGAAGTGCGAGAAGATGGACCACCACCGGTGTTGCAGAGCTGCGTACCGCTTAGCTGCGGTTATGGTCCCTTTATTTTCATTTTACGGCATTGCCACTGGCGTTAGCTCTGCTCTAGAATATGTTATTGCTAGGACAACAACAAAATCTGTGTGTCCAGCGCTCGTTTGGGTGAAATTGGTGTATATATTTTCATTCGGTTGTATTAGATATTCCAGTGGAGACAGCGTATACAAAGGCAATTTTCTTCGCATTCACTGATAACAATAAACACTTAAAGCGGTTTGGTTAGTTTTACATTCCGGTTTCAATGTCCAATTCACTTCTTTGTTTCAGAATATTTATTTAATAGAAATTTAAATACACATCTTAAATTGGATACATATTATTAAATAAAATACACAAAATCCAATGCGGTTTTCAAAACAAATCAATTAGAGGTTTTTAGAACAAATCAATTTTAACAGATAATTAATGTAATATATTTATGTCAAGTTCGAGTTTATTTGCTCATTTGAAAGACAACTTCAGCAATAACATTTTCAATGCATATTTTCTGTTCTTTCAGCCGGGTTCTAGTTTAAACCTTGGTACCTCATGGGATGCAGACACAGCTACAACTCTTTCTTCGGTTTAGTTTTTAAAAGCCAACTCTTTCCTTATTTTTGCACGGCTTGTAAATTACCCATATATTTATGTGTAAATAAGCCAGAATATTCTCTTAAATAAAAATTGGACACTTTCAAACATATCGGATATATTTATGTACATTTATACACCAATTTGCACACTAATACAAAATCCCAAAGAAGAAAGCTGAGAAAGAACAAGTGTAAACAATGCTGAAATGAGACCCTTCTACGTAGTCCTCTTTTGTAGTTAGAGGAAAAGGAAAAGAGTTTGTGGTTACCACACAGTCTTGTTGTCACTTGTCTGGTCAGTTGGCAGGTAAAACATATAGTTGGTAACATGGAAATATAAAGAAATGGTTTTTTGCTGCTTACGCTGGTATGGCGCTGGAAAACTTTCCACGAAATAAGCAAAGGAATGTCCAAAAAAAACTAAATAAGCGGTTGACAGAGAAAAAGAAGAGAGCGCGTTCTATCAGTATTAGCATATAAAAAAGACGGGAAAGGGTGGTGCTTTTGTTTGTGTTTTACAGTTTCCATTCATGTGCAAATTTTCTATTTCTACGGCTCTGCTTCAGCAGTTAGGACAATGCAAAGCTCAGTTAGATGCTGCTTGAAGGTAATGTTTTTTTGGTTTTATTTTTTATTTTAATGAAACATGGCGGAATTTTGAATGTAAAGCGAAAATGCTAGTTTAAAAGAGGAAAAGGAAAAAACATAAATATTTAGGCAAAATTATCATTTTGGAGGTGGTAAGCACTCGACAAAAAAGGAAACACGAAAAACTTAATTCAAATCAATTATTTTTATTGTCGATTTGGAAGGTTGAAACCACCCAAACCCTAAAATGCCTTTCATCTAACATTTTAAAAGTTCTATTCAATCCATGTACAATGCGTGCTGCTCACCGCAATACGCACCAACAACACACTGTTAATGTTGTGAACGAAAAACATGGGAAACTCCACTCTAATCTCACGGTGGCCACTCTGGCGTATTCGAGATTTTTGAAACGGAAAAGTATCAAGAAAAGTGGTTGAGGAAGGAAGACAACAATGTAAGCAAGACGAAAGGTGGAATTATCAAAAGGTGACACACAACTCGCAGTACAATACAGCAACATTTTCTCTGGGCCAAGCAACAGTTTAAATTACAGCTTGTGAAGGTGCCTTGACTCTATAGATATTTGTTGTTGTGTAATTTTCGTTTTCGTGATGTCTTATTTTTCTCAGTCTCTTTGGGTTTGTTGCGTTGTTTTGTTATTATTCTATCAGTGACTTTTTCACATTTTGATCGTTCCTTGCGGTGCTTTGTGCCAACGTGCTATAATTTAGCGTAGAGCGAATGTAGCAGGCTTGCCTTCCTATTGTTACTTTTGTTGTGTAACATTAACTTAACGGTTCATTGTTGTTAAATTATTTCTGTAATTGATTTTATTGTTGTCAGCTTTATCTAACCACTCGCTTACTTCTCCTTAAAATTATTTGCGTGTGTGCTTTTGTTAAAAGTTTGTTGATTATTATTTTTTGAATTCTGAATAACTATAAAATTACTGCTAAGCTTCTCCGAAAATTATGCTAATTTTTAGAAATTACTTGTAACARCGCTCTGAGTTCAATTATCTCTTTATGAGTTTGTGTATATGATCATTTATAAAGAAAATTCCTGTAAATTAAAACTAAAATAGAAAGGTGTTTTCTCACAATAAGAAAAACCTCCGTTTAGGTCCAATTACCACTTCATGCTGCCTGCCACCAGGTACCCTTATCCATCGGCACATATT